AAAATTCAAGGATCTGAAGTCTTCATTTACAGAGAAAGAAGATTAATGAAGTTTCCACAATAAGTCTACAGCAGAGGAAGAAGAAAAAAGTTATTTGAGCTCAGATCAAAACAAAAATAATCTGTTCAACACCTGCCTTTGCTCTGTGACAAAGAAAATCACTTCACTCTGTTCTCTGACATCTGTAAATTAAGAAACTGCATTGCTGTATAAAAAATAATTCACATGCAAAATTCAAGGATCTGAAGTCTTCATTTACAGAGAAAGAAGATTAATGAAGTTTCCACAATAAGTCTACAGCAGAGGAAGAAAAAAAAAGTTATTTGAGCTCAGATCAAAACAAAAATAATCTGCTCAACGCCTGCCTTTGCTCTCTGACAAAGAAATTCACTTCACTGTTCTCTGACATCTGTAAATTAAGAATATTTCTTCTCTCTCAACCTTTGGCCATCTTATTTAGAGAGTAAATTCTCTCGAGCAGGACTATTTCTCACAATGCATCTGTACAATGGCGAGGATAAGACTAGTGCTGGCAGCAGCAGTGGTTTGCAGAAACACAAGCAAGGAAGAGCAAACCTTGCCTAGCTTCATTATTAAACTCTTTAGCACGAGTGAATAAATCACATCTTTGAATTTCTGGGTGTCACCCTCTTTGGTTTCTACTAGAAGCAAATACAGTGTTTTTAGTGGAAAATAGACTAAATATGACCACCTGTCAGCTTACACAGCACACAATTATAATTATCCTAAGGACTGACATATGTTTCCTGTAAGTAAAAGCTGTATATAGCCTACAAGCATCAGATACCAAGAACTCAAAATCAATTGTGAAACAAATATATCAGTATTAGTGCAGTTCTGCTTAACAGAAGAGCTTTCTCTGCAGAGCTTTCTCCCAGCTGCAGCTTAACTAGCTAGGTGTTAAATAATTTGAAAGTTTTAAATAAAAACAAAACAGGAATTCCTACCTTTGTTTGTGTTACATCAAATGAGTATGCCTTGTAGTGTGATTTTTTTTCTTCTTTTTTTTTGTTAAATGTATCTACTTTCACAACTCATTTACAAGATTTTGGGGTATAGAAGCATAAAAGGAACAAAAAAAACTAACAAAGGCTTAAAAAAATGCACTGAAAGATGTTTACCCATATGCAGATATTTCAGAGCTAGAGAAAGCAGCTATCACACATCACATGTATAAGCACAGAAAACAGGGACAAAAAGGACTTCCTAAAGTCATCTGGCTTCTCTCTTGCCTTGGGATGGGATTGGTTATAACCACACCATTCCCAGCAGCTGTTTGTGCTTGAAAAATTCCATACATGGAGTTTCTGCAGCTTCTCCAGACAATCTACTCCAGTGCTTAACCATCCTCACACTTTGAAGGTTTCTCCTAATGCATAGACTAATCTCTGCTGCAATTTAAGCTTATTATGTCTCGTCCCAGCCCCAGTGGACATGGAGAACAGTTTATTCCCTTCCACTTTGCAGGTAATCACAGGACACTCCGAGGACCTATTACCTTCCCTATGTTACATTCATGCGCTACATTTTCCTATAGAATGAAAAGATACAGAGGCATCTATGATATAGTCAAGCGCAGCAGGTACTCGTGAATTAAGACTTATTTCATTGTAAATATATTTAGATTATTAGTTATAAGAATAACTGGCTAAGTCCTGCAGTATTTGACTTCTCGGTTCTAAATTCTACATAGCTAAATACATTACAAAGTATCACTTAAGCACTAAACAAAAAACCCAGTCATGTTTCAGAGTAAATGCCACACTGCTAGAAGACTAAAAGTTGTGTCAGATGCAGATTGACTAAAAAATTACTAGCATTGTGGTTATGATTATACTAAACAACATAAAAGCAGCTAATGGTGTAATCACCAGAACAGATGCCTGCTGGTCAGGAGAAGCAGGTTCTGCTCCAGATCACTATTACTGGATGGCAGGAATGTCATTTAGGACAACATTTTCAAAAGTACCCAATAGTAGAAACAGCTAATTTGGGGGCATCTTAATCACTAATTCGATTGTTGCATCTGTTAACTGAGTAACTTCACAATTCCTCCCCAAATCCTTAACTTTCAAGGCAGTGAAACCTAGTGGATGCTTACAGAAGAGAGACA